TCGATGCAATTGTCTTCTAGCTACCATGTTTCGCTTCGATCCTCACCACATCATTTGAAGGGCAACTTGACGTGCCGCAACGATCGGGACTGTAGCCTTACACTCGCACCCCACCGCTTTGATGCTATTCTTATGAAAAGTATTGCAAATTTAAAATTCCAATATCTGATTTGTGCCATGGTACAGCATTTACATGATCGCTTTTTTGTGAAAAGAGTATCGACCTTTAATAAAGCTCCAGGACTAGATATTTACTTCAATCAGGGGCCTGTCACGTGCTCGCTTAACTCAATAGGGGCAAATGAGGACTTTGAATCTGCCGAATGGTCGATCATAAGAACGTTCAAAATCTCTTATTGTGGTGGTAGGTGCTATTGTCTTGGGGGGGGGAGCCTCAACTTCATCGCCTATGGTGTGGGTATATTACTTTTTGCAGGGGTTCAACGAATTTGTCACTTCATGATTTAACCCGCCATTTCAAGTCAAATAAAGCATCAGCAGAGGAGAGAATTGCCGTACGCAAATACTTCGCTTATCGATGATTATTTGACGTAATGTACCCCATATTTTCCTTGAACCGAATTCCCGACCCGTAGAACCAATTTCAGTTACCCCATATCTCCCTTGAACCGAACTCCCTGCCGTAGAACCATGTTCAGCGCCCCATATTTGCCTTTAACCGAATTCCAAATACTAGAAACTTTCTCGGGTGACTGACTCACTCTACCAATCGATCTGAGATTCATCCCAAGGATATTTGTCGACCTGGAACGACAAGAAGAAGTCCTTGAACGGACCTTGTCCAGCGCGATTTGTGCTCTTATCCAAAACCAGATTCTTCTTCAGGAGCGGGCCCAACAACTTTCTGACCGCGGTTTGTCCCTCGTCGCTCTTGTATTTGTGATCGTAGCATAATCTGAAGTACCGAGGCAGGGCAACGCTGTTGTTATTGTCAAGAGCATGTTCGGCCAGCCCCACTATGGTCTTTGCTGTGTCCTTCAAATTTCCATCTATATCTGCAAAGATTTCGAACATTCCTTGTTGCACCTTTAGCAGTTGGAGACGCATCTTGGCATGGGCTGCTTCTGCCATCTGAAATAACTTAGGCTCAAGATCTTTGAGCGGGTGGTAACGAGGCGTCTTCCATGGACCCAAGACAAGGATGAAGCTATCGTTAAACAGCTGCTTATGACGAAGCTTATATGCAGCAATAAGAGTGTGACAAGCAGTTGGCCCAATGCTTGGAATCAGGCTGGGACTGTTAACCAGGGGACCCCATAACGAGATGGATAGAATTGGCAAGGCACAGTAATATTCGGCGTGCTTAGTCATGACCTGAAGCTCATAACAATTGTTGATTTCATAGGTGCGGCTGAAGATAGCACAAAGGAGCTTCCGAAATGCCTCTTGATGAATTTGGGAAGACCCTGTGAAACTACCGGTAGCAGTGCTCGCGTCACGAAACTTAAGGTAGGTGTTAGCGACTCAGATTAAATAATCTTGGGATTTGAATTACCTCTGGATCATTGGTGAGAAACCAGCAATTGCTATCACTTTTTTCAACACAAGTGAACCATTCATATTTGTAGACCTCGGATGAAGCCGGAATTTTTCCACTAGAAGGGTCCAGGAACTTTCGAAAGAAGGCCGAGTTGATCTTGAGTAAACCTGAGTAGACGAGGAAATCTTGATTGAACACACGAAGGCGACAATCGGGTTGGGTATCTGGGGTAGTGAATATTATCGGCTTGTTTGGTTCTGGGTCAATCTTGATATCCTTCTGTGGGTCGAGGTCGATCTTAACTCTCTTAGCTGGAGGTGGAGCCATCTTAAAGTTGAGATTGAGGCTGAAGCTCCAGAGTCAAAAGTGATGAATGTGCTTGATGTGGGACCTGATAAGGCAGTGGAAGTATGAAGGGGTGAATGTAGGTTGAGAAAAGCGAAAACCAGAAGGTGAAGTGGGGATAGCGCCGCCGAAAAGGCTTGATCTTAGAAAGCAGATGGTGAACCAAATAAGCTTTACCACCTCACTAGCACCATAACGTGCAGTGTGTTGGGCGTTGAGTGGGTAGATTTAAGGTGAAGTGCAACGGTGCAGTTCACCTGAAAGTCTCAAGAGCGAAGCAAATGATTTTCACCACCAGTCTGGCATGCAAGACTGTAGATTGTGGGGTAGTGGAAGTCGAATTAATGTTGATGAAGGCGCAGAGCGCAATGCAAGGAAGACCCGAAGCTCAGAGTTATGATGAGAGATCCAAGCATTAGAGTGCTGAGGTGTGAATTGCTGATGTTACCGAAGAAGATGAGCTGAGCGAAGAGTGTGGAAGAAGTAGAGGTTGTTCTTGAAAGGAGAGGTGAAAGATGAGATTGAAGAATAGTCGCAATGGTCCAATAATTCCACTTACGAAGGCTAGTCGCAAAGTGAGTTCGATCCTAGCTTTGGACGGATTGGCGAAGGTGATATTGGTCAGAAAAAATGGAAGAGTCCGATTAATAATTGCGCGTCATGTCCAAGTGGTATGAGGTCTCATAAGTCGAGTAAATGGTTGACCGAGCGGACCTGAGGTGACAATGAAAATGGAGAGCAATTCCAGGCTAGAAGACACGCGAACTTGGTATATGACTGCAACTGAAACTGAAGAGTTGGCTTCGTCTCTGAAAACTCAGTCGGCCAAGTGGGATGGAGATATTGCACAAGATGTATGAATTGCTCCGGTGTATCTAACAAACCCTGAATATCCATGTATAATGCCTGAAACTTTCCTGCCAAAGCCCAGTCCAATAAAAGATCCAATCGTGAACATGTATTTTGCCACTCATTACCCTTCATCGGGTATCTACGATCTCCCACAGAGCTCTCAAAACACTGACACCACCACCTTGTGTCTCAACCGTTCGACCTCTTCCTCTATCGTTTAAATCCATGATTTCAATTCTTGCTGAATTCTCGTTCACATCATCGCTTCCATCATGAATATCTCGTTGATGTCGTGGCTCATACTTCCATTGCTGTGGCACTTCATGGTTTCTGTAGTCGACTGCTTCAGCAGGCAAGTCAACGTCAACATCCGGCTCTGAACTCGTGTGTGGTGGAGCACCCCACCACATTCCGAATCTTCCTTTCGTATCGACAGTGGTCAGAGCTGCCTTCGCGTTGTGTTTAATCCATGGTCCATACCGGGCACATTGCTCGTCATGCCACTTCCTCACAGCCTCAATTTCACTGGGATCGCCAGTATCGACGTCCTTTCCTATAAATACTCCATCAAGAGTAAGATGGTCTGGCAACCGAGCACAGAAGAGGGCCAAATGGTGAAAGAAGATGCCCTTGAATGTTTGAGAATCCTGCGAGCAATAGCCTGGAGCATCACACGCCTCTTCCAGGATACCAGAACGACCCAGGCCGTGCCATTTACCTAACTTCCTACCGGGCCAGTCAGGTTCATCCAGAATGTCCAAGTAGTTTCCACGCTTCAGGTCCCAGCCAGTCGCGGCAATTACATCCGAGACTAGTTTATGACCGTCTTCAAGATACGATCGCGCCCCAGTGGCTTCGTAAAGTCCACGCTGGCCAGAGAGAAGGACACCTTGATTGTAAGTATAAACCATCTCGTTGCGTGCATCACAACGAGTATTCCCTGTGTAGTTCCTATCCGGTCGTTCGCGTGACCACCCAGAAATATGATATCCGTCAACAAAAAGCCCTTTTGTGTTTGTCATATTGCTATTAAGCAACCATCTGTAAGCCTCAATGGAAGCGGCGAGATATTTAGGATCCCGAGCTCGGGCAGGATTATCCAATGCGGGAAAATGAGGCGCAGAGAATCCAAAAGGGGACCTGTTGTCGTCGCCTGGGAAGTACAGGTACATTGATATCGAGGCTGCAATGAAGAGCTCGTTGGTGATGGCATTCTTGTATGGCACAAGATACGGCGACCAGATCATTCCTCCATCGCAGAGCTCAGTGTCCCAGCCTTGAGATGCCATGTCCCAGAATATTCTCGCCCGATGTGCAAACGATGGAATCCACTCTTCCCCATACCAAGACCCCGCATTCTCAGCCTCGGCATAATGAGTCTCAGAATGCAGCTGAATGAACTTTATGCTTTCTAACCATCCCAACACAACCCATAACATATCATCGTAGGCTTCTTGTCGTAAAGAAAAAGCGTCTTGACCAAAATATGAGGCGGATAGTTCGGAGAAGTATTTGTTGACGATGTTCTCGGCAGACTTCGAGGAGGAAAATTCGGGGAAGGATGTCGAGAGCGTAGAAAGAGCAGCAGATAAGTAAGTGCCAATCACGGCAGATGTCCAGTCAATTGAGTCTGGCCAAATTCCTTGCCAGACTTCAAAATAATCCCCTTGTAGAATGTCCAGCGCTTCTAGCAGTGCATGGAGGGTACCAGACTCTGCTTTGCTAGGCGAAGGCTTTTGATCATTGTCAAAGAGCGGCTCCTGAGCTCCCCTTTCCTCGAGAACATGTCCAGCAGCGCCAATGGCAAAGAATATTGCGCCCAACCATAAAAGACCCAAACCAATTCGAGGGTGTCGAGTCGTGGCGAACATGTTTTGCAACACCCAGACTAGACTCAAAAAAAAAAGGAAATAAGGACACAATGATCAAGGAGGAAAACGTGAAGACATCTATGTTCCTGCCATAGAGGAAAGTATACAGTAGTGTCACCGGATCACAACATCCAGAGACAAGTGAGGTCGAAGAGGGCGGAGAAGTTGTCCGCGTGGTTGATGTGAATGGCCTTGGCAGCCCCTTGAGGCTTAGTGCCCGAGGTGACACAGCGTGGTTGGTCTTGTGGCCAGCCGAGGAGCGTCGGCCGTCATCGGCTTTATCCTGTTGGATACGCCGGCTGATACGTCCATTAGTCGAAGGACTTAGCAAAAAAGGCATACCAAAAGGTGCAGGGCAGGGCGCAACCAAAAAAAAAAAACAAGTTCAAAGACCTCCAGACAATGAATGATTCAAAAATGCAAAAATTTGCTGATGACGATGGGATTCGAACCCATGCTCTTTCGAACCAGTATATTAGATTTCAAGTGTACCTGAAACTGGCGCCATAACCGCTCGGCCCTGGTATTTGTTAGTGTTTGAAAATTGTGAGTGTGATTTTGAAACTTACACGTCACCTTGAATAGCAAGTGTCAAAAAATGCTCTTATTTTAATTCATACGACTGACTCAAAACTCAGGCCTAAAGAGGTTTAGTCTGGGTCGGAAAGTGGAATACAAAATATCCGATTGGCTTGTCAAGATTTCCTGGGCATTAAAGGATTCAGTTCCAAGAACATCAAAAGTCTGGACATTATTAGATTGATGTAAAATTGCTATTCAAACAGCCGTCTGAAATTAGAATATGAATATTAGATCAACCAACAACCATATTACATTATTACTTATGAGGAAGTCGAGGATATCTATGACACTTCTTGAAACATTCAAATGCTGACGTGCAATGCCTAATCCGAGAACTCTACCAATATTTTGACCTCTTGCCTAGTTCCTAATTATGTCTCGATACCTATGGGCTTTTCCTTAATCAGCTTTTTGGTGAGATGCACTAATTGTCTTGGTCCCTCTGCGAACCACTTCTCAACGTCTAGACGGATTTTCTCCATTTCCTCCTTCGAAACGCTCAACACCGTCGTCCCTAGCCAATGGTCCCGGATCTCCTGCCTTTTCCGCTTTGTAGCAGTACCGTAGATAACTTCAAGCTTCTGCAAAGCGTATTCTATTGCCAGCAATATAGTTTGTTGATGGGGTTTCATTGGATCCCACAGTGCACAAATTACTCTCTCCTTCTGGGCTCCGCCGGAGTAATAAATATCGCCGTTGAGTATCAAATCACCGCCAAAAGATGCAAGTCGTTGAAACATCTCTTCAGGCCATGATGTCTCCAGTTGTTCGAGCTCCCCATGCTCGAACCAATGTTGGACTTCCGCAAACGGCCCAACATTGAAGGTCATCTTCCTTTTCAAATGACTAAGATAGCCCCCTTCCCTCCCAGCGCTTTTGAAGAGTTCCAAATATCTTGCCAATGGTGTTCCTTTGCGACCGCGTCCGTGCAAGATTGCTACAAAGTCCCGCATTACTTTGCAAAGCTCCAGCCAACCATCTCGGACCACCAATGTAATGCTCTTCAAGTATGTCCATGAGCCGAAAGTATGTAAGAAATACTCTAGCCTAGCCGCCATAACAACATTCTCCGCGCCATCGAGAAGCCCAATTTCCAACTGGATTGAGTGAACGTTGTTGCTGATTCTCTCATACAAGTATATGAGACTCGCAGGATCTATCTTCAGTGCGGAAGGATCCAAGTTGAGCGTGTTGTGTTTCCAAAGAAGGTCCTTGCAGTCCGAGTAGAACTTCTTGCAGGTTCGTAGAATGGATAGATGAATGACTTCACGGCTAGCCCAGTGATGAGCAAATATTTTGTATTTGTTGTCTGTGCTGTCGAGTTCACGAGGAATCCTGGAGAGGGTTATGAGGCCAGAAAGAGACATGAAGACATGCTCGAAAATTAGTAAACGAAGTTCCTTCGGGACAATTTCAAAGTTGTTGGCCATGGTTGTCCGTGGAAATGGAAAATTATCTCGAAGTCGAGATTCAAATCTTCAGACACTGGGGGCGTCTTTATTGCCTAAATTAGCACGTATCTTTTGTGTGGTTGGAACCCTAGGTTTCGCAGCCGGGCCCTCCATCATGAACGGCATGACCCTGGGGTTGAGGAGGCTAGTATTCAGGCTTCGGCTCTTCCTCTATACAATCCTTCGGAATTACCATTTGAACAAAAGTCGGATGGATCGCTCAAATAGATCACAGCGATTTGTAGTATAGGAAGGCTAGTCTTATCTGGAGGGCGGATGGGACTCATCGCAGGAATTGTACTTGGGAGATAACAGAGTGCTTTACTTCTCGAGCAGGATCCATAATTTTTTCCATCTTTAACAGAACGACAAATAGAACATATGCGTAATGCACCCACCTGTAATCTGCACTTCAACATATAAGTAAAATCTCATGGAAGTAAGCTTGGTGGGAATTGAATGTCATTTGATATTGAGGCTGTAAATAACGTTAGTATCAGTCTTGGATATCTTCAAAGCTTCTACCTACCATTTGTGCCATATCTCACACGCCGACATGTCTCTTTCCTGGACACGTCGGCCAACTCGACTCCAGGAACTTTTGCCCAGCCATGGCCAGTGGAAATTATCGACTCACGCCCAACGCACCTCAGTCACCACCTTCACCTCTAGCAGCAGGACTGCGGCTCCGGCTTCTGGCTCTTCCCTTCGCAGGTGGACGTCCTCCCTTCCCCTTCGGTGGCGGTCTAACGAATGCAAAGTCCACCTCAATGGTCTGGTCCAACAACTTGGTATTATGTGCCCCATCAATCGCAGCTCGAGCCTCGTCCAAAGTTGGGTATTCAATGAGCGCATAGCCCTAAAAAGCACAATTCGTTAGCTTTTTCCCCATCTTGAACTCGAGGCGCAACTGGTGATCTTGTAGCCTGTGCGACCTACCTTGACGTAACCTGTTCTGCGATCGAGATTCAAATGCAGATTCTTGATCTCTCCATAGTCTGCAAAATTGTCATTTAAGTCCTCCTCGCTAGCCTCCTCGTGCACGTTTGTGACAATAATGATCCAGCCTTCGATAGAGCGGACGGCGGTCGCATTCGAGTGGGTGGTCATCGAGAGGTTTTTCATTTCATGTTTGTTGTCGGCCTCGGGGGAGATGGGAGGATCGATTTCCATTTCGGTGTCTGCCATGATGAACGGTCGAATTGAAGACTGATGAAAGGTGTCGTGGTTGTGGAAGGCACGGTGTTAGAGTTGGTGTCGCTTGAGTTCTGTCGCGATATTTCTTTTCGCGAACCGACTTCAAGGCTCAACCTCACCGTTTCAGCCTTGTCACTCATTTTTGGTTGCAACCTTCAATAGGGAGTATGATGCGATGATCGCCATTGTATGCTTATTAATTTTATTTGCTTATCGTTTTTCATAATCTCGAGCACTCCAACAGCAAAATCATGGCGTCCCTAGTGATTGTCATTTTGTGCCATGATTCACTCATCCGAAAGACTTCCACGATTCTGCCATCCCTTTCTCGCATTTGCCTTCTCCACTGTCCAAGTATTGCTATCATGTTAATTATCACGGTATTTTTATTCTTGCTTTCAGTTTTCTCATTGTTGTCATCGGTTTCTCGAATTTTGTTAAGTCGACTTGACTTAACCCGATTCGGTAATCTTTTAGGGGCAAAACGCATCACAAAACACTCTCACACTTCAGTTCGCACCCGAATTTTCTCACGAAAATTAGGGTTAGGCGCGCAGCGCGGCTTAGGGTCAGTGGTTAGGTGTTAGGGTTAGGTTATGGTTAGGGTTATTGGGATATGTTTAAAAAAAAATACAATTCTGAGAAGGCAGGCTGAATCTAGTTCAGTGCGGGTAAATTTTGGTGGTGCAAGTCGACTTAACAAAATTCGGTTTCTCAAGTCAAAGTTTTTCTGGCATGCTGTGTCTATTTCCATTCCTCTCGAGAGCATATCGTCTACTTAGCATACATTCACACATTCCTCAAAGCTCGGCAAGGTTTCATCTTGAGAACTATTTATTCAAGCAGGTCTTATCAGATTATGCACCTCTTCGTCATGTTTTGATATAATTTCCCATACGTGCTTAATGCTCGAGGCTGCGGCGATATCCGGCCTCTTGCTTCCAGCATAATTGCCTCAGCCTTGGTATTATTGCAAAATTTGTACTACTTTCATCCGAAGGCCTATTTCCTGACATGGAGCAGGTAATAGTCGGTTCTTCCTTCTTTGTTCGCTGTAAGCGAAGCGAACATAGAAGGAAGAACCGAAGTCAGTACACATGAGATCAGCCAGTTGCCAAAACACCACAAAGTTTATACCCTTTTCACCAAGCGATGACTTTAGAACTACACCCGGTGCAAAACTAGTACTCGTCGGCAGTTCCTTGCAGTGCTGGGGCCAACTTGAGCAACGCCACATGGCCCGAACTGGGTGCGGAAATGCCTGCGAGTACTTGTTTTCGGCTGAGAACCTATGCCTAAAAACCTCCTTTTCAACGAAGCGAACAAAGAAGCAACAGCCGACAATTAATTCAAAACATTTAAAGCCGCATTAGGTTCTATGACGTTTCAGATTTAGAGGTTTGAGTTTGCAAGATTTCCGCTTGATTTTGATGTAGAATCACGAAATTCATAAGAAGTTTCTTGTAACTTAATAAATAAATAATAAATATATAAGGACGACAGGTATGTGAGATCTGAATTGAGGTGCTTAAAAGCAAGTTCGATTTAACGAGGCTTCTGACTACGAATTTTAGTCGGAGGTTAGGGTGGTAGTTTTTTTTTTAGGGTGGTTCGGTGAGTGAAATAGTGTTCTGGCTAATTTCAATGTCCTAGCACTCCCTTCCGTTAGGATGTACTGTAAGTATAAATGATGGACAGGCACCATCTGAGCATCCATCCCCGAATTTCAGCTTCAACGATCATTCAAAAGGTCCTGCATGAAACAACTCCAACATGTTTCTAACCAAAGCTCATGAGCTAGAAATTGCTGGTATCGATTCATCAACTGATACTTCCATGTTCGAACATCCCAATGGAACAGTGGTTCTCAATTCCACAGTTGATGTGCTTTCTCTGCCACCAACAGATCATGGGAAGCATGCTTACTTTGTCCTGGCGGGTTGCACCGTTATTCAAGCTCCTGTATGGGGTCAGCATATGTTTCGTCAATTTGCCTCTCCATACTGATCGTTGCAGGATTCTCGATGTCTTTTGGTGTTTTCCAAAAGTTCTATACTACCAATACTGTCAATACACACTATTATGGATCTCCGGGAGATATCGCCATAGTTGGAACTACTCTCAACGGGCTCATGTATTTAATGATGCCTGTGACTTTTGCCCTTCTGACGAAATATCCTCGATTACGACCATACACTGGACCTTTCGGTCTCTTCCTTACTGTTGTAAGCTTAATTGGGTCGTCATACGCGAAAAATGTTTGGCAGCTTACCCTAAGTCAGGGTGTCCTTTGCGCGG